AAAAAAAAAAAAAAAAGAAAAAAAAGAAAGAAGGAGGAAAAAAAGAACCATGAATTATACGTATACCATTCAAGAGTCAAAGTACAATGAGATTACAGATAATATTTCAGTACATACAAGAGCTCAAGGAATATCGTTACTACGAGCCTTTATTAAAGAAATCAAGCTAGGATAAACATCAGACAAGTGATGAACAGAAAAGTCATTCCTAAAACTATTTAAAACAGGATTAAAATTTAAACACATATGGGCATTATGATAAAAGAACGTTAAGTCAGTGTCATAAATACAAACAAAACACAGGCGAAATAACAAACACTGACAGGAAAAGAGAAAGAAAGAGGGGCCTAACAGACCTATTTCCCTATTCTTTTTCTTTGGTAGTCAGGCACCAAAAGATATCATTTATGGGAATTAAATATATTTTTATTTGATTTATAAGTACAGAGGCATACGTAAAAAATGATAATATTGCTGAGTCCAGCTCAGCACAGGGAATCCCAAACCAAGTGGTTCCACACAAATGAAGACAAAGTAGCCAATTATCTGGATAAGTGGGCACGGGGAACTTGATGCTTCTAAGAGCAAAGAGCCCCGTCCTTGGTGCACACATTGTTTTTATTGGTATAACTCAAGAGGGAACGAGGGAACTCAAGGGCAGGAAACAAATGGCCGTTTACTCCCCAATCTCTATATTTTGAGAATGCTCTGTTCAAAGAACATTCCCAGGCCTCCTATATGACTGCAGTCACTGGAGACATGGCTGTTTACTTCAACTTCTTGGGTGCTGACCAGACGGCTTTCCGTCAGGTTAGACTTGGCTTTCCTTCATCCACACCCATTCAGCATCAAGGACACAGTTCCTGCTGCTACATGATATAATCAAGAAGAATCCAGTAGTGGAAAGGGAGGGAATAACAGCACAATAAATGGCACAGTGGCATGTGCCTGTAGTTCCAGCTACTCAGGAGGCCGAGGCGGGAGAATCACTTGAGCCCAGAAGTTTGAGGAGGCCCTGGAGCTAAGATCATGTCACTGCACCCCAGCCTGGGCAACACAAGACCCCATCTCCAAAATATAAATAAATAAAATAAATACTGGGTGAAGCGTTAGTACTTTCTTCTGGGACTTATATAAGTTATGGTAACAAAAGTAACATAAAAATAACCATGAAGAAAATTCAGGAATTGTCTCCTATACTGGTGATCAAAAAGAGACGAAAGAATAAAAATAACTTGTAAAAAGCATAATAGGATTTGGATCTAGAAAGGACTAAATAAATATCAGTAAAGTATAAATGAAGCAATTAGCTACTGGTATGCCCAAAAATAAGAATCAACATTTATAAAAATTTTCTCAGATATATGCATATATATTCATTGTAGCATTGCTTCTAATAACTGAGAAACGTAATCAAAAGATGATGAGCTAAACTAATTATTTAACAATATCATGCAGCCATTAAAAAAATAAGGCAGGTATTTATGTACATACTTATGTAGAAAGTAAAAAAGGTACAGAAAAAGGTAAACAGTTTTTTTGTGCTATAAATAAATAGACACACATCTACTGACATGCAAGCTTTTTCTCATTAAAGGATACAAAAGAAACTATTAAAACATAGAAAAGTGATTCCTGTAAGAAAGAGAAGGTGGGAGAGAGAGAGGACACGTTTTCTGTACTGTTTGAGCTTTCTACTTCTATGGTATATCATGATATGAATTTCTGCAGAACCACAGAATTAAGATTATCCAAAGTCCCTCCTCAACCTGAATACACTCTTGGAAATACTGGATGAAATATAAAATAATAGAGCAAAAATGATAGAGTTGTAAATTTTCTTTAATTTTTAAATAAACTAAAACAAATTTCCCAACTACAGACTTTTGCTGATATAAATACACCATGTACTGCAGCAGAAGTGAACCCAGAAACAAGGAGTATAACGCCCTAAGCAATGTGATTTTCTGATAATATAAACCAAAATATTGTTAACAGAGGCTTTAAATGAACACACACAATAAACAAAATTCAAACGCATGGGAAATAACTTTGCAAAATTACTCTACTTCGCAAGTCAAAATATCTTCAGAGATGAGGCAAAGTTTTCTAAGAGCTTACAAGAAAAAAACTCTGTAAGGTCTATCTAAGGAAATGTACTTTGTCATCAATATATCCTCAGGACCTGAGACGGTGTCTCGTATAACTAACATTGAAGATGTGCTGAATTAATGAATGTTATACTACTGTTTGTCAGTTGCAACAAAGGAAATCCTTAGCACAGACGCTTTCACATCTAATCAATGTTATTTCCTACCTAAGGTATGACTGTAGATAATGGGAAAATAAAGTAGCAAAGAGAAGCGCCTACCAGGCGAAAAGAGAGAATAATTCATACTGAACAGAAGTGTTAAGGCAACCAAGGGCCTTAGAAAAATAAACTAAAAAATTTCGAAGCTGATTTTGATATGTAACAAAATTTCAAAACCACTGGACTGGATAAACTTTAAGATTTCTCTTCTAGTACTAACAGCCAATGATTCAGTATCTTTATCTTAAAAAACAATTTTCAAATTTTCTGTGAAATAAGAGACAGTTTCTCTTTAAACATACTGTAAGATATGAATCAATTCAATTTTGTTAGAAGAGTGAACTTACAGAACTATCAGGTTTAGGGTACAAATGAAATCAGAAATGTCTTCTATCATTTGCTGAGCTGAATTTTGTTTTGTTTTGACAAAATTTGTCATCAGCAAAATTATTCAGTGATTTGATCATAACTGCTCAACAAACATTTACTGACTAATAACTTACTAAATAGAACACACACAGAAAAACCCTAGACTTTATCCTAAAGGAAATGAGAATTTACCAAAAGGATTTAGAGATGGTCAAATTTTCACTTTTTAAAAAAATTCTGGTTCTAATATATAGAATGGTTTAGAAAAGGCCTAGATTAGACGGCACAAAGTTCAGTAAGACTACTCCAGAAACTCAGGCAGGCATCTGTGGTGCCTTGGTCTCTGTGGTGACTCTGTCTCAAAAAAAAAAAAAAAAAAGGAACAAAGAAAGCAAGAAGATGCTTCCCTCCCTCACCTCAAGATAGGGTCTTGCTCTGTTGCCCAGGCTAGAGTACAATGGCATCATTACGGCTCACTGCATCCACAAACTCCTGGGCTCAATAACCCAGGCTCCAGCTACTTCAGCCTCCCAAGTAGCTAGAACTACTGGTGTGCACGGCCATGCCCAGCTAACTTTTATATTTTTTGTAGAAATGGGGTCTCCCTGTGGTGCTCAGGCAAGTCTTGAACTCTTGCCCTCAAGTGATCATCCCACCTTGGCCTCCCAAAGTCGTAGCATTAGAGGAGTGCGTGAGTCAGGTGCTTATTTTAAGAAATACAAAAATAAACAAGCAAAAAAAAGAAATACAAAACTACTACAGGTAGTGAAAAAGATTAATGATAGGAGAACTAGGAAAAATTACTTGGAAAATTAAAGAACAGACAAGAAGAGAGGGAAGATACAAATAATAAAGATAGATACGCACTGTAAGAAAGAAGAAAAAGGGGATAAATGAGCTTCTGAGATATATTTAAGCAGCTTGTCATACTGCTAGGTATTTGACCAGTGGATAAGAATAAATTATCACCCGTTATGACCATTCTTAGAAATTCAGTTACCATAATCAAGGGTTTAAAATGTTCTTACCAATTACCAAGAATTTACCCTTCCTGAATCCCCATATCCATCTACACACATGAATCTTTTCCATCTCTGCCAAATTATCCATCTGTACTCTTTCGACATGTAGTAATAATCTTAAATGGTCAGCATTTGTCCCAATCCTTCTTTCACCAAACAAAATCTTCTATGTGGCTTTATGCCATGTCTGCCTACGAAGAACTGCCCACTGGGTTTTTCTTTTTGACAACAGAATCACGTTCTGCTACTGGCAGTTTTGCTACTAGCAAAATTTAACATGTTTGAATTACCTCCAACAATACTACTCATCTAGATAAAACTTACTTTTATAATATTTTTTTAAAAGGAAGTTCTCATATTAAAGGGAAATTTTTATATCTAATACGTTGAATTCCAACTATGTCTCTAAGCAACTTAAATAGTAATACATATCAGTGGTATGTACAAATGAACAAATGTAGACATGAACTTCAAGGAAAAAAGGAAAATCACACCACAAATATATGAAAATCCATTTTTACCTTGCCTCATTAGCATTAATTGGTGTTCATGCCTAGCAGCTTCCATTTCTGCCTCCAGTTTCTCTTTGGCTTCTCTGATGTTTCTATCAACTTGCTCACGCTGCTGCTTTTCCATCTCATCAAGAGCCTTCCATCGAGATGCATACTCAAATTCAAATGTCCCAGGTTGAGCAAAACGTGGTGGCTGTTCTCTTTCCCTAAATTTACATTAAAAACATACAGAAACGTATGCTCAAAAGGTTAAACAATACAAATGAGAAATAACAACTATCGTTTATTAAGCACTTACAATGTTCAAGGCACTGTGTCAGGCAAGTACTCTACAGGAATTATTAATACCTCATGGCAATATTGTGATGCCAATTTAACAGGCCTGAGTTTAAGAAACTGCCCAAGAATGCCCAACTAATAAGTAATGGAACCAGTATTCAAACTTATGCAATGTGAGGGAAAGGGGGGGGAAAAAAAAGCTATGCAATCTGATACAATAACCTCCTGTAAGGTTTTTCTGGTTTTCATCCAATGAACATTTTACATAAGGGATCTCACGAGCCCAGGAGTTCAAGGCTGCAGTGAGCTATGATCATGCTACTGCACTCCAGATCCTGTCTCAAAAAAAAAAAAAAAAAAGTGTTGACAGGAACACAATCTCCACTCTACCGATAAAAGTATAGATACATTGCTGCAATTATAAATTTCAACTTTTATTTTAGGGTGGGGAGGTGAGCATTAGTGGGTGGGACAAAGTTGGGACAGATAAAGGAAGATGTCAGAGAGGGAAAGACGTAGTAACATGAAAGAGCTTTGAAGATCTTCAGAGGCATATAATGAAAATCAAAGTCAGCCATGATTCCAAGGTATTCTAATCTGAAAAACTTATTTGTATTTTTCCTTTTTAAAGTACTGACTGGGAAGTGGGAAGGAGTAGGAGGACCTACCAATCACTAATTTTTCTAAAAGAAGTGTTTAGTAGTCAGCAGTTCCCAAGTCAGAGATTGACTATAACACAAATGTTTAAAAATTCTTCATTTTCTCCCAAAGGAAACACCACTGAAATAACACATTATTTTTGAAGTTAGAACTGAATTTGAATCTTGGCTGTTACGCTTTGTGAGCACTTCCTCTACTCTTTAGAAGAAAAACTGGGAATATAACTAGTTCTCACAAGGTTTGCTGGGATAACTAAATTCATATAAACAAATATTGTCTATAAATTCCACTTCCTGTAAAACCCTTGTAATTTCAGTTCTCTAATTACCAAAGCCAAAAGTGTGCTCTATTTTGAATTTGTAATATAACCTGTAACAAGAAAAAAGTCGGGTATACAGGAAATCATAGTAAATCTTTTAAAAATAACATTATAAGAGAAATTAAAATGGTTGTGAATTACAATCAATTACTACTCATCCTTCTCTGAAATACTCTCTTCCCTTGCTTCCAGGACACAGCTGTCCCCTCCAGTCCCATGAATGCTCCCTCTCGGTCTTTTCTGATTCCTTCTGATCTTCCTAACCTCTATACATTAGAGTACTCCAGGGTTCAGGGTCTAGTGATGTAATGTTATAAACACCCTTGACAGCACATATCTAAAATATCTTTATTAATAAAATCTTACCACAAAAATAGTCAGATAGAATGAACATTTGATAGCACAAAAAAGTGACTACAGTAAACGGTAAGTTGACACATACTTTAAAATAACTAAGAGTGGAACTGAAATGTTCCTAACACAAAGAAATGAATAATGCCTAAGGTGATGAATACCCCAATTACCCTGATTTGGTTAATACACGTTGTATATGCCTGTATCAAAACATCCACATGTACCCTATAAATATGTAAAACTATTATGTACCCATAAAAATTTAAAATAAATTTATAAATAAAATTTTAAAAAATGAAATCTTACTTATGATATTGTTGCGTTTTCTGCATCAGCTTCTCTGGCAAGCCGTCTTCATCATCAAACTGCTCCATGGGCTCCACAATGACTGGACGAGGGGTCCTGGATAGGGATAAAAGCATTAATAAGAATTAATGTAGTGTCTAGAATTAATATCCTGCTGGAAATTTTTTATAATAGTAAAGATATATACTTGGAAATGTCTCACTTTAGGAAAACATCTCAGAAATACCATAGGTACTCATAACATCAGTCAATAAACATTTGCTGAGCCAGACATAGATGAATGTTAAAGCAAGAAAAAGATGAGTAAATAAAGCAACAATTATGAACCAGCATAACCACTATAGTTAACTTTTACAAAGTACGATGAAAAAGAATGCCCTTGTTTTTATGTATGTAGCCTTCACTGTCTGCATGTCCCATCACCTCAACCAACTGATCTGTGCCTACCTCCAAGTCTTGTGTCTACCACTACCGCTTAAAAAATTTTTCAAAAACGTTAAAACCAAAAATAAGACCGAAAAGATGTCAGCCAAGCAAAAGTAAAGGCAGGCAGGCAGAGGACACTAGATATTGAAGGAGAAAGTTGGGAGAAGAGGGAAAAGTCAAGAGAGAATGATCAAAGATATGACTAGAAAACCTTTAGTATTTTCTTAAATAGAAGGAAGAGTTCATGGAGGGGGAGGAATAAGAATTGATGAGATACTGATATTAAAATTTTCTTTGCTATCAGTTCTTCACCACGAAAGCTGCATTAAAATCTATTTATACTGCCTTCAGAACAGTGATGCTTCATTCAGAGAGAAATAAGTGAACTTAACTTATTTAAGTTATTTAACTTAACTTAAGTGAACTTAACTAGAAAAGCTAGAGAAATAAGGGGGCCTTCTGGATTCCAAAAGCTTTCCTTTACACATAAATGTCCGGAGATTAACATGGACTTTAGATCCTAAACTATAGGAAAAAACACAAAATGATTTTTTAAAATGATTACTAAGCTACTACAGATATTTTAAAAGCAGGTACAGAATATCATGGGGTGGTGGAATGACATTATAGAAACCTCAGACAAACTGAGTGGGAATCCGAAAGAAAAGGGATTTGGGGTGTGGTACTTCTAAGGGTACCCCAAAGGGGCCCAGGGCCAAAATGAAAGTGCATTATACGGGCCATTCGCCCACTGGAAGCCATGGCAGCACCACAAACATCAGAATAGTAATAGAACCAGATAAGAAGAGCTAAATCTAAGTAGAGGCCACCAAAGAAATGGGCACACCCCTTCAATAACGCAAGGCCACCCCACCTCAAAGAAAATCCAGAAAAAGGGACTGAAGAAGGAAAATAAACTTAACAGATCATCTGTCTCTCAGACCATGACAGACTTACTTGGAACTGATAAAATTACATGAAGCCAAGGGAAATGGTAAATAAAATTAAGAGAAAAATATGACATCTCTGTACTCTCGAATGTCAGATATTTTATCTATAAATTTTAAACTTTGAACGTATGAATATGGGCCACTAGACAACTCTTATTAGGGGAGAGGGGAAATATAGCCTTCTGGGAGGGAACTTGTCTAATACATACAAATTTATACAATCTCCCCCAAATCAGTCACTTTGTTTCTACAATTCCACATCTAAAGAGACATGTGAAAAAGTGAGCAAAGATCAGTCACAACCACATTAATGACATTATACAAAAGGATGGAGGAACATGGGTATGTGTGGTATAAAAAGGAAATGCTTAAAGAACTATGTCTTATTTTTTGTTTATTGGGACATATGCTAAAAAGTTGACATCTATGATTACATTGTATGTACTACTTCCTAAGCTCCTTTTGTCCATTTTCTCACCCATCCTGTTTGTTTCATGTTCATCTTTAGGTGCTAACAAAAGTTTGTCAAATCTAACAAATTCTGTTCACTATACAATGACTAAATTTATTCTTTTTACGAATGTAAGTACGTATTATATACCAAAAAAAAAAAAAGACTAAAAGGAAACAAATCAAAGTGTTCAAACATGTTAAATCTGGAGGTTTTTTTTTTAAAGACAAAGTCTCACTCTGTTGCACGGGCTAGAGTGCCGTGGCATCAGCCTAGCTCACAGCAACCTCAAACTCCCAGGCTCAAAAAATCCTTCTGCCTCAGCCTCCCGAGTAGCTGGGACTACAAGCATGCGCCACCACGCCCGGCTAATTTTTTCTACATATATTTTTAGTTATCCAGCTAATTTCTTTCTATTTTTTTTTAGTAGAGACGGGGTCTCACTCTTGCTCAGGCTGGTCTCGAACTCCTGAGCTCAAACGATCCATTCGCCTCGGCCTCCCAGAGTGGTAGGATTACAAGCGTGAGCCACCACGCGTGGCCTGATCTGGAGTTTTTGTTTTTCTCCCCATTTTGCCACCAAATCAATCATCAGTTTGGTCTATAAACTTCAACAATGTCCCACTGTGGAAAAATTTAAACAACATAGTAATTTTTGTAGAGGAAAGTCAGTCCCCTGAAAGCCTATCATGTGGACAGGAGCTCCACACATTTTCATGAAAACCACTTCAGACTTTCCTTTCTGTCAATATACATATTAGGTTATCAAGAATGAAATGTCTGATTTCCTTAAGTACTAAGTCTGACAGTCGGTATCTCTGACATTTCACTTTGACACTTCTGGTTTTTTGTGTGCGTGTGAAGGTACATCCTCATTCTTTCAAATGCATGTTTTGCTTGTGATTATCTTTCAAATTTTTTGTTAGAGCAATTTTTGTGATACCATGGATAAGTTCAAAATTCATGTTATTTTCGAATACAGGTTCTGTCATGGAACCAATATGGTGCAGACAGCTTGAAATATCAATGAAGTGTTTGGGAAGGATGTGGCTAATGAACACACAGTATGTGAATGGATTGAGAAACTCCATTCTGGTGATTTTAATCTTGAAAGTGAGCCATGTGGGCAACCTGAGACCAAGGCGGATAATGATGAGCTGAAAGGTGTTGTGGGAGCAAATCCATTTCAACTTGCACATGAATTAGCAGCAAGGTTAGACATTACCACTGCAACAATATTGGACCATATGAAACAAATCGGCAAGGTGAAGAAGCTGGGTAGATGAGTTCTGCATGAATTAAATGAGTGCCAAAAGAGAAATTGTCTCGAAGCTTGCCTTTCTTTGCCGTCACGACATAAAAGCAAACCATTTCTACACTGCATTGTTACATGTGATGAAAAATGGATTCTTTTTGACAATCGTAAGGGTTCAGCACATGGATGGATAAAAAAGAAGTGCCGAAACACAGTCCAAAAACAAATATTCATCAAAAAAAGCTAATGGTGTATGTTTGCTGATCCAGCGCTAGTATTAGCCACTACGGCTTCATGAAACCTGGTCAATCCATTACAGCAGATGTCTACTGTAACCAACTGGATAAACGATGAGGATGCTGTGATTAAGCAGTTGAGACAGAGACAGGCCAATTCTCTTCCAAGACAATGCTCGGCCACAAGTCACACAAACAATGCTGCTCAAACTACAGAAGATGGACTCGGAAACTCTTTGTCTTCCACTGTATTCACCAGACCTTGCACCAACTGACTACCACTTCTTCCAGGCTTTGCACCACTTTTTTTTTTTTTTTATTTCAGCATATTATGGGGGTACAGATGTTTAGATTACGTATTTGCCCTTGCTGCCCCCCCCCCCCGCACCACTTCTTACAAGGAAAAATATTCAATTCTCAACATGCTGCGGAAAACACCTTTCTCGATTTCATCACCACTTTCTCTCCAGGCTTCTTTGTTGCTGGCATAAACAAGCTACCATTAAGATGGCAACACTATGTTGATAGTTTAGGCTCATACTTTAATTGTACTGCTTGTTATTTGAGATATAATAAAATACACTTATGATTCAAAATCGGACATTTCATATTAATAGACCTAATACAGGCCGGGCGCAGTGGCTCACGCCTGTAATCCTAGCTCTCTGGGAGGCTGAGGTGGGCGGATTGTTTGAGCTCAGGAGTTCGAGACCAGCCTGAGCAAGAGCGAGACCCCGTCTCTACTAAAAATTAGAAAGAAATTAATCGGACAACTAAAAATATATAGAAAAAATTAGCCGGGCAGAGTGGCACATACCTGTAGTCCCAGCTACTTGGGAGGCTGAGGCAGGAGGATTGCTTGAGCCCGGGAGTTTGAGGTTGCTGTGAGCTAGGCTGACGCCATGGCACTCACTCTAGCCCGGGCAACAGAGTGAGACTCTGTCTCAAAAAAAAAAATAGATCTAATAATACAAACAATGTGGATTATGGTGAACATAAACCTTTTTGAAATTATGCTTCCTTCTGGGAGTCTGAATTTTTGGTAATTGCCAGACAGTAGGAATGTCATGACTGACACCAATCCCTCTCCCTCGCCCCCACACACACACAAACCCCAGACCCCTAGGCTCAGATGACATATCATACGTGTTGTCTCAATTCATTGATGGATGAATTAAGCATGTCCTGTGTGACTCTAACGGGAGAGGACTCTTGGAAGTTTGCACCTAGTTCCCTCTAGACTACCCCCATGCAACTTTTTCCTTTGCTGATTTTTCGTCTTTTCTTTTCATTATAATAAATCTTAGCTGGAGTACGACTATATGCTGAAGGCTGCTAAGTCCTTATTGTGATCCATGGAACATGGAGGTGGTCTTGGAGTCCGCATGATACACCGTAAGCACTCTAACCAAGTATAACTTCTGTCGACATTTTCACATTTTTATTTCCAGTCTTTTTTTATAATCAGCTCATTAATACATTATTAGGAACATAGCATACATCTAGTTTTACATCCTTCCTTTTTCTGCTTGCTCAATGAAAGTTTTACGTTTTAAAAAATAAAAATTTAAGAGTTGTTACACAGCACATGTGCATAGCAGAATGCCCTGCCATAACCAAATTTAGTTATAATTTAATTTAATTTTATTGAGATATAATTCATGTACCACAAAATTCCCCCTTTTAAACTATGTAAGTCAGTGGTTCTTCAGTATGTGCAATCAACACAATCTAAATCCAGAACATTTTCGTCACCCTCAAAAGAAATCCTGAACCCA